TTCCCGGACCGGGGCATGAACCCGCGTCCCCTGCATCGGCAGGCAGACTCTCAACCACTGCGCCACCAGGGAAGTCCTAGAGATCATTCTTTAATGATCTTCTGGCTCTCCTGGCATGTTTAATAGCTCCTAGCATGTTTGGCAATAGTGTAGAAGTAGTGAAAGTGGAATAGAGAAAAGCAGTTGTAGGAAAGAGGAAGGGAGGAGAGGATTCTGTTCCCTGTTAACCAAGTATCCTCCTAACTAGGACAGAGAAAAAGAAAAAAGCCAAATAAAGATTTATCTAGCAAGGAGAAAAGCTCTTTGGTTTTAAAGATTTTCCGACTTAAGAGTATTTTCTCTTCTGATGGCACCTGAATTACATGTAAAATTATCACTGAGGGCTTCCCTGGTGGCATAGTGCTTAAGAACCCACCTTCCAATGCAGAGGACACAGGTTCGAGCCCTGGTCCGGGAAGATCCCGCGTGCCACGGAGCAACTAAGCCCGTGCGCCACAACTACTGAGCCTGTGCTCTAGAGCCCACGAGCCACAACTACTGAAGCCCGCATGCCTAGAGCCCATGCTCCGCAACAAGAGAAGCCACCGCAATGAGAAAGCCCACGCACCACAACAAAGAGTAGGCCCTGCTTGCCCCAACTAAAGAAAGCCCGCACGCAGCAACGAAGACCCAACGTAGCCAAAAATAAATTAATTAAAATAAAATAAAATAAAAATAATCACTGAACGTCAACTTCAAACTACTCAAAAGTCATTTTAAAGAGGTGTTGAGGAAATTCCCTGGTGGTCCGGTGGTTAGGACTCCACTTTCACTGCTGAGAGCACAGGTTCGATCCCTGGTCAGGGAGCTAAGATCCCACCAGCTGTGCGGCGTGGGCGGGGGGGGGGGGGGGGGGGGGGGGGGGGAGGGGAGTGTTGAGCTTCGCAAAGGGAATGCATAAAAGAATCATGGGCCATGCATGCTTCCCATTACTTTAAGGGAAAAAGCAAAGCTGCCCATCCCACTAATTCAACCCCAGAGAGGAAGAAGAGCTCTGATACAGATCAAAGAGAAAAATTAAGGCCATATCCAGGGATCAGAGTACTAGAGTGGACCTTTCCAAAGATGTGTGGAGGGTATCAAAGTTCCCATCCTCCTTCCACGACTCCTCTTCACTCTCCTGGATAGGATAAGCAAGGACAAAGTGGAGCCCAGAGAGTACGGGGCATACAGGTGGCTTCCACATGGTCCAGTTGGCCAAAGAGAGTCTATATACACACTGGGACTACAGGTTGAAGCGGATTTTTTTTTTCCTGTAGGATTCCTGAGACCATACATTCTTTGATAAACATGTATGACGGTAGGAGGCAGGATAGAATAGCAGTATGATGGGAAAGCTACAAGGTAACTCCACACTACTCAGTAGTTATGGCCAATAATACAAGTTATCCCTCTTATCATGAAGATGCCAGGAGTCTTAAGTCTTGAACCTTAAAATCAGAGAAATCATAAATATTTCTCTGTATAAACAAAAATAAATCTCATTACATATATCCCAAACATACACAGAAACAGAAAACGACTATGGTTTAGGAATAAAAAAGGAGTAAGATAGTAAAATGCAATATTCTGATAAATGTACTGGTTTTCTGTACTAAGCCACTAAACCACTCAAAACTTAGTGAGAGTAAGCAAAACATAAGTACTCCCAACTGATTTTTTTGAATAGATAGAGGCATTTCACTGTATTATATAAGACACAAAAGAGAAGCTTATTCTATGAGTCCCATTGTGATATTTTTTTGAAGTAATGAATCTTGAAAACCTTTCAATAAACATATATGATTTTCTTACTATTTCTTATAGCTTTCTCAAGCAAATGTTTACTGTGTGCCAGGTACCTTTTAAGCACTTTATATATAATACATTTAATCTTCATAACGTCCTAGACAGTTATTATTATCTCCATATTATAGGGGTGGGAAATACAGCATAGAGAGGTCAAGTAACATGCCCCAGGTCATGTGTGGAGGACTGGCATTTTTAAAAAAATTTTTTAATTGAAGTATATTTGGTTAGGACTGGCATTCTAATCTAGGTAGTCTGGCTTTGGAGTCTTTTAATCATATTTTCCTCATGATTTTGTTAAGAAGCCTAGGAAAAAAAAATGTGTTTAGAAATAGGAACCTCAGCCCATATACTCACATTAAGGAAGCGGCCCACATTTCCTTCTTTTGTGGCATCCAATAAAAACACACTCCCTTTATTGAACTTCTTTAGAGAATCAGATGAAGCATTCTTGGTTTCACTTGGTAACTCTTTATCACAAAAGACCTGCTGGTTTTGACATGCTGGAGATTTTTCCTCTTGGGGCTTTCGTATTTGAATCTCATTCTGATCATCCAGTGTGACTGTTTGGTGACATCTGCCCCCTGGTGGAGTTTCTTCTCTACATTTAGTTATATCTATCACATCTGATTCAATCACAGGGTTGTCTTCAGAATCTTCAGCTTGGTTTGAGCTTGAGTCCTCTAATAAACGTTGTGGAAGGAATTGTCAGGAAATGTAATTGGCTGAGCAAGCAGTGGTGAGAGTAACAATTCTAATTAAATGCAAGCTGTGCTAATTATTGCTAATCCTTACAATGTATTAAGGTAGACAGTACTCCAATTTTACAAATGAAAACTTCAAGCCTCTGAAGGCTTAAGGGATTCACCTAACTAGCAATAGTAATGAGAAGTGGGGTAAGAAACCCAGAAATATCTGACCCCAAAGCCTGCCTTCTTTCTACTACATAACAATGCCTTTTTATGAATCTGTATACATGTTGCTTCCTGTTACTGTATTTAATCTCTACTCCTTAGAAACTGACTTACCTCTCTTCAACTTTGGAATCTGCATTTAAGTGTATTCTAAACAGCTGTAACAGAGAGGGTATTTAGGGAGCACTTTAGGCCTTTAATATACCAATGAAAGGCCTGAGGAGACCCTGATGGAGTCACCCTCTATAAGTCCCAATAGTAATAACTATTGCTATGGGTTTTGTATACATTAATGTTTGGAGTTTTTACTAGATGATCATTCAATAATTACACTTTTACAAACAACAGTACTTTAGAAGAAGATGAACTACTTATTTTTCTTATCGAATAATGGAAATAATTTTTTGAAAATATTCAAAAGTATGAATGCATGTCAAATGGAATAAAATGATTTATTTTTAAAAAGTCATTTGTGTCACCTAATTCAGTGGCACGAAGAAATTATACTTCTCTAAAATTAATGTTTTTGATGTAATCATCACTGTTGCTGGCTGCTACTCCTACATGTACTCATATTTTAATCATGGGTTACTTGTGAGCCATAATAGTACATAACTAATTTTTGTGGTGCCTGCTATATACATTGTAGTAGTCAATGGAAATGACAAAAGAACCAAAAGTAACAGTAGTCGTATGGCTCACATGCATTAAATGGTGATATATCAGAATGTCATCCCAAAATATGCATCTCTGACATAAGGACTATTTTGAGCTAAGGGCAATTAAGTAGCAATACAGGAAAAGCTCAGCCCTCCCCCCATGTGTCTAAAAGCAGGATATAAATTTACAAAGGTGTCCCTCCATCTATAATACTAGGAAGGACAAAAGTTAATTACCAGAGATAACTATAGACCTTTGTCAGCTTGGAGACTGAACCAAAGCAATCTACATAGCATACTTGACTAACTAGCCTTTATCTACCATTGGTTTCACATATATCTGGGTTCCCACAATTTCCACCACGAGATATTCAAGGCCCTTTTCCTTTGTCTTGTTATTCCTCTAAAAATTTATTGTTCTTTGACTAAGATACTAGATAAGCCAGAGTTCTAAGCCACCTCTCTGAGTTACTCATCTCTGAGTACTCATGTGTTATGTGTATAATATGCATACTAATAAACTTTTGTTTTTCTCTTGTCAATCTGTCTTTTGTCAGTCTAATTTACAGGGCTCTGGCTAGACAGCTTAAGATGGGTAGAAAGAGATTTTCCTCCTCTACAGGTGAAATTATTATAAGTGCCCTTTCTTGATAGACCTTTTCTGTCAAGGAGCTGCCTTGCCTCCCCCAGTCTCCATCCTTTAAGACCAGGTGGGGAGTTGGGGGTGCAGATGCAAGGAAGCCCAAAGGCAGAAGAGGCAATGGTTGGTCAGTTCTTCACAAAGGGTCATGTCTCAGCAATGCCTCTCCACTGAGGGATATATTGAAATGCAAATGAACAAAATCCAAGTTTGTCAGGTTGTAATATTAACCATGGCAGGTCCGGTAACACTGAAAGATAAGCACTCAGGGTAGCAATATTTACACTTTTTGCTAAGCATCCCCTGCAGCAGCACTGGCTGGAATACTGCAGGAGAATGATGTGTCTTTATTTTTAAGGAGCCTAAACGAAGGGTTAGGAAATAGCTGCATTGGACAATGCTTCCAAAGCCATACATGGACTATGCAGACTTGGAGCTGACCACCCCATTCTCCTGCCACGCATCAAGTCATGGTTGGCATCTGGACCAGGGGTCAGCAAACTTCTTCTGTAAGGGGTCAAACGGTAAATACTGTAAGCTTTGTGGGCCACATGGTCTCTGTTGTGACTATTCAGTCTGCTGCTATAGTGTGAAAGTAGACAGAGACAACATGTAAACGAAAGAGTGTGGCTCTGTTCCAATATAACTTTATTTAGGAACACTGAAATTATAATTTCCTATAATTTTCAAGTGTCACAAAGTATTACTTATCTTCCCATTTTTTCTCAGTTATTATTTAAAAGGTAAAAATTATCTTAGCTCATAGGCTATACATAAACAGGTAGTGGGCTGGATTTGGCCCACCAATTATAGTTTGCCAACCTCTGATCTAAACAAGTAGAAACTCTTGTGATGAATGCCACATTTTTGTTATGGAGTCTGAGAAAATGAGCCACAAGTACTGAGCAAGAGAGACAAAAAGGCAGAAGAGGCAGGCAATCAGACTGAAACAAAGCCTACCTCTCATTTCCTTGGCTTTAGAGTTCAGATGTACTTGAGTTGGTTTAAATCCACCATTATCTTCTGAGGTGACAGACTCTGAGGAAGTAAATCCCTTAAAAGAAAACAAGGAAGATGTCTTTACTTCCTAGGTCAGGAAAAAAAATTTAATTTAGCAGTAAGGGCTCTTTCATCAAGTGTCAATCTTCACAGGCTATAGCTACTAGATTAGTTTTGAAAGCCTCTCTGAAGTGATGGAGCCCTTATGGCTGTATTTTACTCCTAGGCACTTTAGTGAGCAACAGCTATGAAAATTATAAGGACTGTCAAGACACTCTTTAGGCATTATAAATTCAAAATAAAATTCAAATACACCTGTCTGTATCCCTCAATTCTGATGCCAGATTATAAATTTGGCTTCAACTATAAGATGTGCAAAGATTAAAAACACTCTTTGGCTAGTTACTTCAAAGAAAAGGTTAAAGGAATTGCCTGTCTCCATGAGTTGCAGACACTGCAGTCACTTTAAATGGTAATGATAACTTTCAAAAAGGGGTATATGCTGAGCACAATGCTTGGTACTCAACTAAGTGCTCCATACATGTTGACCATTATTATTATTATTTATGTACTTCAATGGTCAACATGTGTGGAGCACTTAGTTGGGTGTCAAGCATTGTGCTACACAAAGTTTCTGATGTTTATCTCATTTAATCCTCTTAACTCTGAGACAGATACTATTATTCTCATTCTACAGATAAAGAAATGTAGACAGAGAGATGTCAAGCAGCTAGTAAGCTGCAGTGCTGGAGGGCAAACCCAAGCCTATGTGATCCCCCGGCCCAATCTTTTCATAATCATGTGGTACTGAGGAGGTACCTACTGAATGTTACTAGGCAGAGGGCAAATATTTGCACACCACCTAGGGCAGAGTTTTTATTTTTCATCAACAAGCCTTACCGTGAACTACCATTATGTCTGCCTGTTCTTTTCTTCCTGCATCATTCTGTTTCGAAGTTACAGTCTGACTATTCTTCTCAGTACAGACTGAAAAGTGTACCTTCAGAGGCTATCATGTAAAATGTTGCTTTCTTGATGATTCTTTCATTAGGCTGCTTCTCTTCTTTCTCCTACATCTCACACCATCTCTCCTTAACTTAAATTACTCTATCCTTTTTTTCTTATTATGTAATACTATCAACTCTTGAACACTTTAGCTTCTTCTACAAATTCTTAGACTGAATAGGTCTCAGTAGAATACACTGTCAGATCATGACCAACATTCTCCTTATATATCTAAGTTGGGAACATGCCAACCACCATGGAAGATACTAAGTAAATAAAACATAGTCCTAACACTTTAACAGCACCACATTACAAAATAATAAAAGAAATCCTACACATTATTAAGTAACACAATTTGAACTAAGTAATAGTTAATGTTCTCAGAAGGGCACCATCTACATTTTGCAGTTTTTACCATCTTTTCCCCATTGTGTTGAATACTGGCCGTCTTGGTTTTAGGACTTCTAATGACTGAATGATACTGAATTCTTGAAATATTGTTACATTTCATTTCTCTGAAAAGGAAAAAAAAGTTATTCTGTATATCACTAAAAATGCTCTTTATTGTGCCCTGAAATATAGATAGCTTCACTGTTACATAAATATCTATTAGAAATTAATCTAAGTTATAACATCTATGCCTACCCCTCACTAGAAGAAAAAAGTATAATCATATTTTAAAGTCAATCATTTTTGAAGTATATTAAAAAACTGAAGAAAACCTAAGAAAAGCTTTGCAAATAAAACAGTAATAGAAAATAAAAAGAACTGCAAAAGTTACGACATCCATAAAGAACCTGATTAAAGTCAAAGTTTTTAAAGGTAAAACTCCACAAATGGAAACTGAGGAAATAAAGTATGTTGGCTAGATTTTTAAATCTAAGTGCCCTAGATTTCTCACAGTGTTAAACTTACAACTGTGAAGCAAGTTGACATACAGGAGATACATAGGAGTGGAAGTGGAAAGCAAGAAAGAAAGATGAAAGAGAAAGAACTACTCTTGATCAATAGTATACAGCATAGATCAATCTTGATTGGGTTCATAAGATCTCACTCACATAATGGGCTCTTTGGGATTATTATGGAGCTTAGGTGGACACTCCTCAGTCACAGCACTTCTAGGATATGTCTCCAGTTCTAATGGGATAACTTCAACCTCACAATCTGCAACTTCTATTTTCCTCTTTTTTGAAAACATATTTTTCATAATATTCTCTTCTTTTCCATTTTCATCAATAGCATCAGAATTCTCAGTGTTAGATCTGCTTAGTAATCTTCCTAAAAGAAAAAGGTAAAAGAGCTTAACACGACAAAAAATAACACAATTACTAGCAACAAAAGGGCATCTCTTCTGCTCCGTTACTAAAGAAACCTATAGGGTATACCTTATTTCTAGAATGAAGATAAACACTAACTCATCCTAGAAAGCTATTGTAAGAAATAATATATAAAAGACCAAGAAGAGATTTCGTATCTCCCAGTACATGAAAAAATATAGGGCATCTAAAAGAAGTATTTGTCTGTTGTGGTATAACATGAAAGAGAAGAGATTTAGCTACAATAATATAAAACAAAAATACAGATCAGAAAGCATTCTAGAAAATTAGAGAGGTGAACTCTAGTCTTAAAATTTCAGCTTTTGTGTCTAGTTATAAATGCTTTATCATTTAAAACCTTTACTCTTTTTATAAAGTGACCTATTTAAATCTGTAGTGATATGTGCCTATTCTCATATTAAGCCCTAGTGTAATTAAAATCTTCACCTGAAGCTTACGCATTTTCTTTCAAGGAACTCAAAATTATAGTTAACAAGTCAAAATTAGCAACTAGATCAGAGAGATAACTTAGGTGCATTTTCTAGCAATGCAGATAAAGCCAATGAATGATACTTTCTGGACACGATTTGGCATTTTACGGGCAGCATCAAAGAGTTATTTTGAGAAATACGAGAGATGAATTGTCTAGGTAAGTTGTGTAGTATGTGTGTCTGTAAGTGGTATGTGGTAGGGATCCAGGTGTGACTATTCTGAACTCTGATAATTCTTGCCCTCACTGAAGTGAACCTGGAATTTCAGATGAGGAGGGTTGCTCTAGTCCCTGCTGCCTAGCACATTTCCTTTAGATGGCGTTGAGAGTCGTGTTTCTCCAACCTTTCTCATTTCATGGTACGCACAGAAGGTAAGGATTTTTGCCTGACACTCTGGGGTAAAAGGAAGAGACGACTAGAGACCAACGTGTCTGGCCTGTGGGATATGGCCTGAAAGAATCAGTAATTGCACAACTGTAACACACTGGTTGGAAACTTTCACTCAGAACATGGGCAACTCTCTTGAGTACCTGAAATGGAGTGAACTGCTTTGCCTGAATCATCATCTGAAGGTATTTATTACAATGTTAACCTATTAAATTCTAATAGCTCAAGACACTGAACAAGACAGTCTTTGATTAATAATCTTTATCTTAGCAAATCAGTCATTTAGATTTCCTATTTAAATAGGAAGCTTTCTTACCTTACCCCAAAGCATCTGCAGCCACAGAGACCAAAAAATGTGCCTCACACAATAACCCAAGTTTTATCCCTTAGCCTTTCTTTTCTGGAACACCTGATACCTCCTCCTAAGGCATTTCATCCCTTCAGTGCTCAATTTCCCAGTCACCTGTCTTCCTCTGATGCTCCTCCTATATATTGTTGCTCTTGTCCTTGCTATAAGATCTCAGTGGCCCTGACTAGTAAAATGGAGATTCAGAAATGTAGATCTTACTATAGAGTAATGTGAAAGTAAACCTTTGCTTTACCTGAATAGATGCAAACAAACGTCCCTCTGTCAATGTCATCTAGGCAGCGTACTCCCCATCCCTTCTTCTCAGTTTTGAATACTTGTAGCCTCACTTGAGGTCCATGTTGGACAACTCGGTTTTGACACATTCGTCGATTACATTTGCACAACAGGCTGCATTCATAAATGCTGTCAATAAAACATACAAGAGAAAAATCAATCAGACATCTTAAATTAAAAGCATAAGCACTTTATATTGCTACGTCACTAATAATTACCAAGAGAGACAGACTAAGTGTGAAGGCTCCTGGAGCTAGACTGCCTGGTTTCCAACATAGCTCCAGCATTTACTAGCTGCGTGACCTTGAATTTAACCTCTCTGTACTTCAATTTTCCATTTTTAAAATGGGGATTATATGATACTACCTACTTCTTGGGGTTGTTTTGTGAAGATTAAATGAGTTGGTATCTACAAAGTGCTTGAGACAATGCCTGGCACATAGTAAAGGTTAGCTCTTTAAAAATGTCTAGCAATGTCTACGAAGGAAATGTCTAGGAAGGGAAAGTCTAGGAAGAAAATTTTCTGTTTATTTTTATTAATAACAGCCATGAGAAGTTGAAAATTCCCAATTCTCAGACAAGCTTTGCACAGTATACAACTTAATGGGGAACCGTCTACCCAAAGTAAGCTAACCCTAGCAGGGAAAGAGTCAGACTCAAAGCAGATGAGTGTTAGAAACAGTCTGCATGTTACATGTGTGCTCTCTGACTTCCATTTCCAAGAACAATATACAAGTTTGTTTTTTTAATTCCTTAATTTAGATTTTTGGTATAAGAAATTAAGATTTAACAACATTTATAAGACTACAGGCCACAATGATAAAGTACCCTTCTTCAAAGATATAAACACCCTGCAACGGATCCTCAAGGTATCTTACCCAGTAGGTATCTGTCTCTGTAGTCTTTTATATTTATATCCAGTGGTTATTTTACTACTTAACAAGGGGCAAGTCTTGGCATTCCTTGCTGTCAGTTGAAGACATGCACATTTTGTTCTAAAAGGCAACGGATGGAGAAGTCAGAATAAAAAAGCACCAAGTTAAGAGACTATCTTGACAAAAGTGTAAAGAATGTAATTGTATTTAGAATAGTTGTTTGGTTCATGGACTGTTAGACTTCTTCCCTAAATAAAAAAGACCTCTTTGAAAGACAACATCTACCAAAAATTTATAAATAATTATAAACTTCCCTGTACCTCTATTTGCTCATGAAATACTTAACTTTATGAGTTTTCTCTAACTTTTCAAAATGAATTCCTTTCATTTCCTATTCTGCAAAACCTTCTTTGTAAAAATTCTCCTATGTCTGCTCTCTTACAATGGATAAACTTATATGTGTCAAACTCAAAAGGGCGTATTGCATATGTCTTGTATTATCTCTCCCTCCAGTGACATGAAAATAAATTGGGGAGACTGATGCTGGGTATCTGGCTACTACAATCTGTTTTTCATAACATTGCTAAGCAGTAAACATGCAACCATAAAAAAATTTTCCCAGGCTTCCCTGGTGGCGCAGTGGTTGAGAGTCTGCCTGCCGATGCAGGGGACACGGGTTCGTGCCCCAGTCCGGGAAGATCCCACATGCCACAGAGCGGCT